TTTTCTCGGATAAGTCCCTTTAACATTTCATATAATAAGGGCTTGATGATGATGAACTCCTTTAATTTTTCCTTGTCATAGTAGCACCTTATCTGCCCTTCCATTCTAAATTATAGTTTTGCTGGATAGAGTAATCTGGGTTGTAGGACCTTGCCTTTCATCACTTTGAGTACTTCTTTTGAGCCCCTTCTTGCCTACAAGGTTTCTTTGGAGAAATCAGCTGATAGTCTTACGGGAACTCCTTTGTAGGTAACTGTCTCCTTTTCTCTTGTTGGTTTTAAGATTCTTTCCTTATCTTTAATCCTGGGTAACTTAATTATGATGTGCCTTGGTGTGTGCTTCCTTGGGTCCAACTTCTTTGGGACTCTCTGAGCTTCCTGGATCTCCTGGAAGTCTATTTCCTTGGCCAGATTGGGGAAGTCCTCCTTCATTATTTTTTTAAAATAAGTTTTCACTTTCTTAATCCTCCTCTTCTCCTTCTGGCACCCCTATGATTCGGATGTTGGGACATTTAAAGTTGTCCCAGAGGTTTGTAAGCCTCTCCTCATTTTTTTGAATTCTTGTTTCTTCATTCTGTTTTGGTTGAATGTTTATTTCTTCCTTCTGCTCCAAGTCGTTGATTTGAGTCCCGGTTTCTTTCCCTTCACTGTTGGTTCCTTGTATATTTTTCTTTATTTCACTTTGCATAGCCTTCACTTTTTCCTCTATTTTGCTACCATACTCCACCATTTCTGTGAGAATCCTGATTACCAGCATTTTGAACTGTGCATTTGATAGGTTGGCTATCTCTTCATCACTTAGTTTTAATCGTTTCTGGATTCTTGATCTGTTCTTTCATTTGGGCCATATTTCTTTGTCTTGGTGTTCCTGTTACTTTGTAAGGGGTAGAGCCTTACAAAGGTATTCTTCAGGATGGAGCAACCCAGATCACTGAATTGTGGTGCTGTCTGTGGGGGAGGGGTCAGAGAGGAACGATACCACTTGCTCAGCTCTCACCCTGCTTTCAGTCACTTCCCCCGCTACCCACAAACAAATTGGGCCCATCTGGGGCTGATTCCAGGGTGGGTGTGTTTGTGTACATTCTGGGACCCCATGCATAGGTCTCTCCAACAAACTCTCCTGTGAGGCCGGGAGTTTCTCCTGCTGCCGCAAACCCCACCGATTTTGACAGCCAGAGGTTTTGAGGCCTTCTTTTCCCACATTGGAACCCTGTGCGGTGCTGTCTGTCTCAGTCCCCGGTTGTACCTCCCCACTTATCCTCACACGAATGCTGGACCGCCCGGTCTGCCAGCCACCATCCTGCTACGCGTCCTTGCTGCCCCGCTGCCCGTCTCTGCCCTCTTACCAGTTTGGATGAATGTTTCTTCTTTAACTCTTTGATTGTCAGACTCCATACGGTTCAATTTTCTGGCATTTCTGGGGTGTTTTTTTGTTTTTAAATTTGTTGCTGCCCTTTTCGTTGTGAAAGAGGCAAATGTATCTATTTACGCCTTCGTCTTGGCCAGAAGTCTTGACTGGTTTTCAAATTGCTTGTCTCCCCGCCATTAAAAGCAGGATCTTTTCTGAGTTGTTTCCTTGCTATATTCTAGCCCCTAGAGTTGTATCATACTCATAGCTGATGAACAAATAAATACCTGCTGAATAAAGGAACATAAACAAGAAAATCATACTGTATATTATTTATGGATGTGTATGCACCTTTGCCAAAAGATAAAAGGACATTGGGATTATAAACAGGAATCTTTTGGTTGGGGGTGTTGAGGAGTGAGAGGTCTGGGGATGGGAACTCAGCATGGTGATTGTAGGGGACTTTACTTATATGTGAAACTGTTTCTTTCTTTTACAAAATGCAAAAGATACACAAGAGGAGAAAATATTAAATATTCTGGTGGTAAGAATTTGAGCATTATGTTATTCTTTGCATTTTCCTGTCTTTTAAATATCTTAAAACATTTTTTTAGAAGTCTGAATGGAGTGAATTAACCCCTTATAATTTTACAAGATTTAAACCTCTCTGACATGACGGTAGTCATACATGGCCACCCAATTATTTTGAAGTGATCATTAGCAACCTTATTTTAATCAAGAGAAAACTGAGAGAGAGATGGATGAGAGGGCTTGCAGGGACCACCTCTTGAGTCAGGACCATGCTAAGGACCAGACCCAAGCATACTTTCTCTTTCAGGAGATAACATCAATGCCCTTCAAATATGAGAGCTAGACAGATAATAAGAAAGTAGCTTTGAGGCTTATAGTCATAAGACCTAGAAGAGTTAAATCTAAACTGATGGACAATTAATAAGCAAATAGTTTAACATAGATAGAAAATACACTCCAAATGACCTCAAGCAAGCTACTTAAACTTTCTTTTGATTCCTCACCTGAGGCTATGTCCACTGATTTTAGAGAGAGGAAGGGAGAAAGAGAGAGAAAACATAGAGAGAGGGAGAAAGAACGAGAGAGACAGAGACAGACACAGAGACATCGATTGGTTGCCAACTTGGAATCAAACCCGCAACCAAGGTATGTGCCCTGACCAGGAACTGAATTTGCAACCTTTTCGGTATATGGGATAGGGTTGCAACCAACTGAGCCACAAGGCCACGGTTGCTTTAAAAAGTTTAAAGCATATTTTCCTCACCTATCAAATAGGGTATTTACCCAACTCATAAGATTTTGGGAAGAACATATCATTTATGTATTTATGTATTACATAAATTGTATAATTTATTTAAATGACCCAGCACAGTTGGTTGGGCATCAACCCATAGGGCAAAACGTGACCAGTTAGATTTCCAGTCAGGGCATGAGCCCGGGTTGCTGGTTTGGTCCTTGATCGGTGCACATATGAGAAGCAATGGACCAATGTTTCTCACATTGATGTTTCTCTCCCTCTCTTTCTTCCTCCCTTCCCCCCTCTCTCTAAAATTAATTAATTAATTAATTTTACAGAACAACAACACGGTGTCTGGCATTTAATAGATGTTCAATATTTGTCTGTCTCTTCTAGTTTTCTTATGTTCCCAGGTATTATGTGGAACCATTGGAAAATGTCTTTTTTGTAAGATGGCTGAATATGGGCAATTTCATGAGTTTCATGCTTTCACTGCTATTACTCTATGAATGTAAGCTCTGATACCACTATCAGCTATCTCATCTTGAATTCACATGTGAGGGAAAGGCAGACCAGAGTTTAAATAAAACTGATAACTGTTTGGGGCTTGAGAGTCTGTTTGCATCAACAGATCAAAGGGATCTGCAAGTGTGTAAGACAGAGAAGGGTAGTCCAATTGGCAGAGATAGGTTTACATAATCAGGGTTAGGCAATTGCAAACTAGACAGCTGCTCAATAGCTTTTGGCACCAAAATATATTGACCAGCTGGGATATCATTAATGCTTAACAGTTCTATCCTTATGACAATATCTTGGTCAATTAAGTTGTCTTTGACCACCGAAGGGTATAATGTATTCTGATGTAAATGCCACATGTGTATCTGTGTAGCACATATTCTATTATATTGATGTGTTATGGAATATACACTAAATATAAATGCATTCACTTCTTCAGATCACCAGGACAGTGTGATTAAAGAATAGAATTTAAATATGCAATGATTTTTTTTTTTAGAAAACAATCATTAGGAAACATGTTTTATGTGTATACTGAAAACAAAGGGATCCAAATAATTAAAATAATTTCTAAGGTAGATTTTTAAAGAATGATTATAGAAAAAAATATGGCTATAGAAAGCCATTTCTGCATAATATGTGCATATAAATAAATACAGAAGGACAAATACAATCACAGAAAAGAGTGATTAAAGGACTTTCACAGATAGGTGTTTGAAGGGTCAGAAAATGCACTTGGGCTATTGTCATTAGACTCTGAAGCCATTTCCAAAATATTTCTAGCTAGGTAATCTCCAGATAGTGTGTTTAAACTATGAACAGACAAAACAAATAAAAATAAAATATAAGACAATTGAATGTCATGACATTTCCCAGAATGCTTCAAATGTTAAAATTTAATACATTAAAATATTCTGAATATTTTCAGGACTTGCAATTGTGGCATTTGTAGAAAAAAAAATTTGTAATTCAAAGTTTTTATACAGTAGCAAAACAAATAACAACAACAACAAAAAGTCATCCAAACACAGAACCCTTACTACCTAATCCAAAATGCATGTGGATAAAGGATTTCACTAGTAAATTATTTCAGTTTTCATTCATTTGCTATTTAATTTGACATCTACTGGAATTCTTTGGTTACTTTCATTAGCATCTCTGGATTGACCTATTTTTCCTTTCCCATAAAATAGATACTTGTTTGGCTACCAATGATTGCTTCTCATGACTTTGTAAAGCACTAAAACTAACATCAATGTTCCTCTTCAAAGCCAGAGAACTTTATATGGGGAGTATGAACAATAAGGAGGCAACCAAACAAGTTACTACTTACATCTATGGAACTGCTTAATCATCTGATAGAACTCAAATAAAATACTGCCTGAGATGCAAAGGCAGCTATGAATATAAGGAATCCTTTTACCATTTTTATGAATATATACATTTGCTGGTGCTTTGGCAAGTTATTTTAAAAAAACCTATTTTTATGGTCTCATTTATTTCTTGTCCTCCTTCAGATGGAAGGCTTTTCCCAAAACTTGGAGACAATGAATCATGCAATATCAGTAGTGGAAAGGACTTTAGCAATCGTCTTGTTCAAGTCCTTCATTTACAGATGAACAGCTTGAGGTGGAGGAAGCTTCCACAATTTGTTAGCATTCGATGGCCAGCAAGCAGCAGAGTCAAAACCGGATACCAAATGTGTACTGATAACTAGATGAACGCCATTTCCTCTAAATTATCCTATCTTACTACTTTTTAAACCACCTTTCCCTTAATGTATTATGTATCCACTGAACATTACCATACTGAATAATCAGCAAATTTGCTATTGCAGTTTTGCTTGTCAAGGTAATAGTGGGATAACTTTTTAAGTTGAAAATCCTGGGATAAAGGGATCATGGGCATGAAATTCTGCCTGGGAGCCTGCCTGGAGGAGGTGTCCATGCTCGTGATGCTCCGTCTTCCCCTTGCACTGGCACTCCTCTACCAACATCACCACCTTGGCCACGGGGACAAGGCCCGAGCAGTTCAGCTGCAAGTGCACTGTGGTGAACTTGGCGGGCGAGCAATGGAAGCAGAGGTGTGGGTGCTGTGCAACTCCAGGAACACGAGCAGGCCCACATTTCCCAAAGCAAAGGTTGTTCTGTACAACTGCTTCCTCACAGTCTTCATGGGTGATAGTCTAAAAGGCAAACATATCTCTATTAAGTTATCTTGTTTCATTTCATTAACACACATGATGCGGAAGCTATAGGCTGTAAGTCTGAGGATAATTTAGACTAAAATTTCAAAACCTTTCCAATTTTGAATGTTTTGCAATTTCCAAGTAATGGTACCTGTAAGGGCAAAATATCACCTCAACTAAATAGTTCTTTTTTGAGTAAATTAATAAATTAGCCTCTAAGAAATCCCTAAGTTAATATGAAAATATTTTACTCTATTTTTTATTTTTTAAATGCCAAACTTTAAGAAATTCTGTATAGTGGGATGTTACCAGTCAAAAAAATTGAAGGGCTGGCTTCTTATGTAGTGCGCCTCGCCTTTCTATTCCTCACAGAGCACTGTGCATAATAGGTTCTCAATATATGTTTTTTCAGTTTCTCAGAGACTAGATCAGAATACAGTGAGTTTAATTCTCCTCTATTTTGCGGGGCCTGTATTACATTTAAACCTCTGAGGCTGCTTGGAGCAAAGTTGCAACACACCATATCTGACACTACCTTTGCCTCTCCCATAATCCCATATCCCTAGCTTTATGTGGCCTTCAAAACATGCAAGAGCCACACATCTTACTTTTAATTCAATTAGCAATAGAATTCAAAATAAAAGTTTCAAAGGAAATTTGATTACACAATTCTTAGAAGCAATTTTCTAATTGCACATGGCCAACAAAGCAGTCATTAGTATTTGATAGTTTACTTGCTATTGCTACATATCCTTGCCTTTTTAGGCAGAATACTTAACGGCCTTGCATATCCAATTACCTTATAATACTGCCTGCCTAATTGGGTAGCGTTATTGGACTGTAAAATTTTACATTACCCTGCATTGCTTTTGTTTCAGTATCTTTAGGTTTAAGGACCTGATGCAATTCTCAATTTTAATTTAACATTTGGAGAATGGGTGTTGCCAGGCCTGACTGGAGGAAGTAGAGAGTAGAATGCCCTTTTGTCTTAATAGGGTGGATTCAATCGTGATAAACCACAAATCAACCAACACAGTATGAATCAGGAGATAGTTGTTACTGAGGGAAGAAAATGTGATTTTACATCAAGATTATTTTTTAAAACCTTATGAAAAAATAAGTTAAATCAGTTTTGCTATGGTAATACTAAAAATATGGTAACTTATACCTGATAACCTCAACATATTTTATAGACCTATGAAGTATTTACATGTGAAACATAGGGATTAAGACCATCATACATGGGCATAAGAACAATTAGGGGGAGTCCAATGTATCCCATCTTAGCTACAAATGGAGTGGACTTGCTCATCCACAGCCTAATAGAACATAAAGATACAGCTAGAGAGATTTCTGGTGATGGGCCTAAATTACCAGTGTCCTAACTGAGGATTAGTCTATTTCTCTGGATAGACTACCCTCCTTCTTGTAAAAATAAGTAAAATCACATAAAACAAAGCTGGTGCCATCAGTATGAATGATTACAAATATGGGCAGTTCAATCGTACTCTTCCTGCAGCATTTCCAGAATACCAAGGAATAACGGGAAGTTCAGAGGGAAATTTAGGAGGAATGATCAGGCATTGTCAAACCCTGTGATCAACGCCCAAAGACCAAGTCTGGGAGCCAAGACGTGGGCCCCTGGCAGCCTCTTCCCCTGCTCACCACGTGTCCCAGCTGTCCACCCCTTCCTGCTAACCCTGATCCCCTCTCCACCCCAATCAGATACCTGGCTGAAAGGCACTGTCCTACAGGTCTCCTGATGCACCTCATGGCTTTTGATAGGCAAGATGACCCCCTGAGAAGATGGACTCATTCTGAACATGAAGTGGTGCCAGAATTTCTTGGCTTCTTCCTGAAGAGGAGACGTCTTTATCTGCATCCCATCCTTGGACTGAGTGAGGGCCTGGGACCCAGGTGGGAAGTGCCCACTGACCGGGTCCTGGGTTGGGTGTAGTTCTCTCTCAGGCTTCTTCCAGAACCTGCCAAACCTGAACAGCATCTTCTCTCTGTGTCTCTGGTCTTCTGCCGCAGGACTGGCACCTATCAGGTGTGGCACTGCAACAAACAGGTCTGGCTTCTCCTCAGCCTCCTCGGGGTTGCCTGTGGGAAGCTCTCTGCGATTCCTTTGCAGGAGCCCAAGGGAAACAGAACTCTGTCCCTGGAAGCCGCCCGGGTGCCCCACAGCCTTCCCCAGAGGCAAGAGCACCAGCAGCTGAACTAAGAGGACAGGCATGTTGCCGGGGCCCAGCTTCTTTCAGATTCCCAGATGCTGAGTCCCAGAGGAGAGGCTCTTTCCCCACGGGACTGTGAACAAGGAGCTCTGATCCCATATATAGATGCCCGTCTTGTGGGATGGGAAGGCAGGTGGTCAGCAGTCAGGCAGGGTAAACACATTTGTTTGCTTGAATTATGTAGTGTTAATGGTATGCTGCCTTCACTTTGGTTTTGTGTATTTTAGAAGATCCCAGTGAAAGCCCGGGACCCAGGGGGTCATTAGCTGACTCTTTTATCGCCTGAGATTTGAAGGGCAGTATTAGCAAAAACAACACATTCTTTGCCCGGATTTCCCATCACTATTGTTAGAAGGACCAGAGTCAGCTAACATTTGTAGCGCATCTGCTTTGTGCTGGGATAAAAATGGACAAAACCTGTTTTTATGAGAGAAGTATACGAGATAAAAATTAAAGGCATACTTTTGGGAAAAAATCCAGTCCTTTAGGCTCTAAAGGCACACGCGCGCACACACACACATGCAAGCTGCTGAAGAAGAATATCAAAACTGTATGGGAGGGAAAGGAAGAACTAGAAAGACGTTAGCTTTGTTCAGCAGATAACTCCCTTCCCACTGACATGTGGCTGGGATTGTTGATTTTGTACGGAAGCAGAGTAAAAGGAAATTCAAGAATTTCCAAGTTAATCCCCGGGCTTTAAGAATCAAATACTTGGTGTTAAATTCACACCTGGTCAGTCATCAGATAAACTCTTTCAATTGTTCACAAATTTCTCAACAAGATACTAATAGACTGACAGCTCCTCGGTCCTCACTGGGGAAGAGGAAATGTCTCTCACAAGCCTCCCTACTGACTTTTTTGTCCTTTGTCTAAACAAAGAGCTAGACTTGAGAACGTGGATTCTAAGAACCAGGTTGGATAGCCTCAGGCATGAAGCTGGCTGGTCAGTTCTTTACTTCACAGAATCCACATCCTCCTCCTTATTCTACAGTAATTGATGGCCCGGATAAATAAAGGAAAATCCGTTAGGTGACTATCATTCAAAAACATTGCAGAGCAGGCCAGAACATGAGAAAGAACATATCCACAAAACTGAAACCCCAGACCTGAAGCCAATCGACCCTCCACACCATTTCAACAGCATTTCCATTAGGAATTGATCCAATACTTGCTTATATTTCTGCCCTTTTGGTTTAATCACCATATTCCTTGCTTTTAGTAACACACTTCATCCTGGATCATCCTTCCCCCTAACCCCCAGTTTTGACTAGTGATTAAGTTTTCTTTTAAGAAGACTTAATCCCACTGGACTCTTTCTTAGATACATTTTTTTAAAATAGTCATGCCTGATTCTGTGAGATACAGCCTCGGATATGTCCCTTTACCTACAATGATGAACTGTTTTTAAATGGGCCATCATTTTTTTCAGAATTCTATCAGAAGAAATATATTTTACTTGTACCAAATACCATAGGAACTGTGCTAGTGTTAATTAAGGCACAGTTGATCCATGCTAAAGGAGCATTAGTATTTGCCATTTCTTTTCAAGTATTTGTCTAGTTGCCTGCTATCTAATTTCTTAATTCCCTTCAGCTAGCCAATGCAATAGAATTTTCAGAGCTGGCCCGTCTTCCCTAATTGTAAATGTGCTATGGAAGCCAACTAGGACACATTTTGATTCCTTTTAAACTTTACTTTAATGCCTGACGTTTCATTGCCATCAGTCACAGTATCTAGCACTTCCCCAAACTGAAGACTATCCCAGAGATTCCACTCAGGGCCTCAGGTCACTCAGCTCTGAACACAGGATACAATTAAAACAATTCTGTTGAATTAAAATTTGTGGGAGACTCGGTTTGTGGGTCAGACATCATGTCAGGTACTAGAAGGTGATACAAAATGATAAAAACTTAGTCCTTGCCCTCAAAAAACTTGTATAGTCTGATGGTTCCATACATTTTGTAACTTTATTGTATTAGCTGTGGGGATGTCAGTTATCCACTTTTAACTTTCTTTAGTCCTAAACTCCCCTTCTTCTGATCCTAACTTTGGTGTTTATAAATGCCATTTTAAAAGGACTTGAGGGGAATTTCCTTTTGCTCTTCTATCATTCCTGTTGAGAAAATGTGCAAATATCCTGACCGGTTGATCTAGCAAAGCCAAGCCTCTGTGGTGGGAACTGTGGTGCCTAAGTCTGTCTTCAGCCCTTGTCGCTCACAGCCAAGGCAGGTGACGTTCACCTCTCACCACCTTTCATCAACTTGAAAGCCAAGAATGTGATACATTATAGCTTACTCTTAAGAGCATAAACATTTTGCAGCTTTCAGCAAAAATACTCCGCTTCCAACCATCTTCAGTGATACAGGCACCTAATCGCCTCCCCTGCCCCCCAGTTTGGAAGAAGCCAAATGGAGGTAGGTCTGTGGGGTGGGGGTGGGGGGTGGCCTCCAGACACAGCAGGAAGCTGTTGTGAAGAGAGAGCTCCACAAATTGCTGGTATACTTTAGTACCAGACACCGCAGAGGAAGGCAAGCCGGAACGTAAGCCTGTGCCCAAGCCTGCTCAGTCCTCTTTGCGGGACAACCTCATGCCTGCGAAAGAGCCAGAGGGACCCATCTCATCATCCATCCATCCATCCATCCATTCAAATTTACACCTCATGCTCAGCATGATCTGAACTCTCTGATTTCAACCTGATCCAGTTTTCCTAAGCACTAGATGTCTTCAGGACCAGGTTGAGCTCCCAGCCTGCCTATGAGAGGACAGTACAGAACTACCTAGTCGGGCCCTTTTACAGGCTCTCAGAAGGGAGCTGAAGGGCAGTCTCATGCTCTCTAAGGACAACCAGAGAGGCTAAGTGTTTTCCTGAAAACCCCAGACCTAAATCAACAAAAGGTTAGAGGCAGCATTAGGGAAGAAGGTGGGCATTGGAGTCAAACTGAGAGATAGGAAGGGGATTTGGGTTGATGGAGTTGTGAAAGAAATCTGTTTGGGGTGCATACCATTGCCTCATAACCACCTCTCTTTTCAAAATACAGGGTGTGGCACAAATAACGTTCCTTTTTTTAAATAAAATCTTTTATTACAAAATCATAAGCATGTAATTCTGTAACATAACAATATCGCACTCAAGCATACTATATGACATTTTAGGTGAAATGTTCAAATTAAAACTATAAATTATTACACCCATATTATTACCCTACCAACCACACTCAGGCAGGTGTTACTTCTGCCGGAAGCTGTACAAAGTAGCATTGGTGTCAAGAGACTTTAGATTATTTTAAAAGAGCCCAAAAGAAGGCAGACTCTTTTCTTTTCCGAATGACAAAGAAGAAAGCAAACTAGAGTAAGTGGTTTCCCCTTGAAACTTTTGTTATAACTTAGTTTACCAAGGTATTCAAAACATAGAACTCCCCGCCCTGAACTGCCTTTCCTGCCACTAACTATGGAAAGAACACATCAGAAAGGGCTCGTTTCCCAAAGCTGCTCCACCCCTTGGATTTACTGGTGCGCCCAATCCTACAGCAAGTATTTGAGTACCAACTCTGGGCCAGGACCTGCGGATGAAATGGTGAGAGTGCCCTTGTCCAGGCTGGGGGGTTGCCTTCCACTGGGGGAGAGGCTGGTTTATTCAAAAGGAGTTACATAGGCTAGGCAGCCACCATTCCTGTACTAATCAGGGACGTTCAGGTCCAAATTCCAAAGTGAACTGTGACGCTGTGTTTCTGTTCATTGTATTCACTAAATGTTTAAGTGCAAGAGATTTTCTTTTATCTTTGATTGGGTATTAAATATCTGTAGTAACAAAATTCAAATAATACAAAAAAAAATTGTCCAATGAAAGGTAAGTTTTCCTGTGACTTCCCAGGCTTCCTCTTCTGTTATGGAGCCAATCACTGTTATCAAGTTCTTTATGTACAATATTACAAGATTTTCACTTATTATGGGCTGAATTATGCCTTCCCAAATTCATGTTGAAATCTTAACCCCCAGTACCTCAGAATGCGACCATACTTGACAGGGCATTGAAAGCAGTAATTAAGTTAAAATGAGGTCATTAGGATGGGCCTATTCCAATAAAAATGGTGTCCTCATAAGAAAAGGAGATTAAGACGAAGACACACAGAAGAAAGACCATGTGAAGGTATAAGAAGAAAAAGGAGAAGATGGTTGTCTCTAAGCTGAGAGAGCCCCCAGAAAGAAATTACTTTACCAACACCTTGATCTTGAACTTCCATCCTCCAGGATTGAGTGAAAGCGAATTTCTGTGGTTTAAGCCACCCAGTCTGTGGTACTTTGTTATGGCAACGATAGCAAACTAATTACACACTAAGAGAACAAAATGAATAGCCAATTAAAAAAGGACAAATATCAAATGGTATGGCATGCCAAAAAATTTTCCCATGTCTATTTTTGGGCACTGATGTCTGAGTTACCTGTTAGCATCTGGTTATCCTGTTTGCAGTTTCAGTCATCTTATTGTTCTCTGTCCAAAACACTCTCTGTTATGCACACAATGCATGGGCTATACCTATGTGTGACTAATCAGCTCTTTACCAAGATTGCAAGGGGGCTCCTCCAAATCTGAAAAGTAGGCCACGGCAGCTGAGAAGACTTTACCTTGTGCCCCACCATCCCACTGCCCATCTCTCCCCCATTGCTCCCCCCGCCGCCCCGTCCAGGATGCTCTCACTGGTGCTTAACCCCTGTCGTGTTCCCTCTTCCCCGTCTTTAACACTTACCTTGATCATGCTTCATTCTGCAGAAAGCTGCTCTCAGAGAGAGAGAGAGAGAGTACTGTGAGCTGAAGTAACTCTGAACTTGAAGCCAGAAAAACTTTATCCAATTCCTGACTCTGCCTTTCAGTTTATAAGTGACATGATCTCAGGTACTTAATTTCATGTCCCTAAACCTTGCCGGGGACAATACCACCTGCCCCATCTTCCTCATCCGGCTCATTGCTTTTCTTTTTGACCCTAATCTAGCTACCGCCCTGGAT